GGACTAAACTTTTTTATATAATCGTATTTGTGCAAAAAGCTATAAGAAATTCACATACATCTCGTTTAACGCTTTTGGAAAAAAATTCTCCCAAACATTGCCGTATTACGTAGGTATTCAAGTTAGACAATTTGTTTTCATATTGATGCATTAATGTACCTAAAACATTTAATTTATCGCAATCAAATATTTGTTTTCTAACAACACTTAAATGTAAGAGACATTGCAATACTGCATTTGTATAACAAGAAACCTCATCTGTATTTTGGAAACCATGCATGACCCAAGCAGTATTTTTTCGAACTATATCATGTGACTCTTGAACAGAACTAATTACTTTTGGCTGTACCCATGAAATATCTTTTATTTTACGATACTTTTCTTTCGAAACAGACATTATTTCTGTTGCTGGTTTGTGTATCTGTTTTAATCGATTATATTCAATAATAGCTTCTTCATCAGCTGTTACAGATGAAGGATCGAAATTAATTAAATGCAACCCATCTAAAGATGTTACTCGTGACAATGCAACATAAATTTGCCCGTGACTAAATACTGAATTACCTAGGTCCATAATAGCATTCTGCAAACTCAGTCCTTGGCTTTTATGAATAGTAATTCCATAACTCAAACACAATGGAAATTGTTTTCTAATAACATATGCTTTCTCCATCACCACAAATTTAACACTTACTCTTTTAATTAAATATTCTAAACCTGATGGCAAAAGAAGCTTGATCTTTTCTACATAACCGGTAGACACATCTTGTACAATTGCAATGACTTTAGCAATTGTACCGTTTACAAGACCCAGACTAGCATCAATATTACGTCTTATCATTACTTTTGCCTCAATTTTAATAGCAATTTGTTTCGAAAGTCCAGCTGTTTTTGAATTATCATTATCATTATTTGCCAACACTTTTAATACTTTCTTTTTTATATATGGTATACATTCGATTGTATCTTCAGCAATTAATAATATTTCTTTTGAAGTAATACGACTTAACATTGCAGCATTTAAAACATCACACATGTGACAAGTGGGCAATAAACAAACGATGTCTGATGTCAAATTAGTAATAAAATTACATAATTCCTTTAATGTTGACTCGAAGGAATCTTCTTTAAAAGATATTCTTCTATTTTCTAGAATTTCACAATCAGACTTTGTTAATAAACCGAAACGAATTCTTGACAGTAATTCACGATAAGACTCATCTCCTTGCTGGCGCATATTAATTGTCAATTCATCGTAATCAAATAATGTAGTCCACAAATTCACATTCCCTAGGCAACCGATATATTTATTAATTTTTTCATTTGACAAATCTACAAAGACAGAATCTTCATGTACAGGAGGTAATTGAAGCAAATCTCCAAACAGAAGAATATGCTTTTTACCAAACCAACCATCATCGCAATCATTCGAATCAAATATTTCAGACAATCGAAGATGTATGTACATTAGAGTCAAATTAGATATCATTGATACTTCATCAATTATAAAAAGAATAACATACATTAAGCT